AGCGAATTCTATGATTCTACTTGAATATCTAAACAAACTATATCTGTCTGTCTGTCTGTCTATCTATCTATCTATTGTAAAGCAAATCAATATGGCCCAGGGGTAACACATACAAAGAATATATAATTCGTCCATCGTGTCTTCTTCATTTGCTGTGAAGTACACATACATTGGGCTTCCAGTGAATATTTCCAGTTAGTGTCACGACGTTTCTGCCTACGCACAATCTGGGATTATCTGAGGGCGTTACTGTTTTCTAGTTGTATTTACCAAAGAGGTTGTGTTTATGGTTGAATGACTCACGCGGAAATATGTCGTCACGTTGTGGCGACATTTGTTGAAGCAGTCGGATAATCGACATTAGAATCGTGTACTGTCAATAAACCGTTGTTAGTATCTTTTATGTTACCATACACGGTTTGGATATACGGATATTATTAATTATCTTATGAAAGACTTCTTATTTCGATTCTAATATCTATATTTTGTCCTGACTGCTGGGTGTAAATGCGGTGAGCTAGGTCGTCAGTAAAAGATTTTGTGAGACAATTTCAAACCGGTGGACTATTACCAAATCGATATTGACTAGGAGAGTGTGTGGGATTGTTATTTATAAAGATCAAAACCTGCTCAGAGCCACTGTCTACCACGAAGCAAACATTCCAACAAGCACTAAATATTGAAGTAGAAAGTAACAGAAGATTGTACTGGTTCAATATCTCCCAAATCTCCAAGAAGAAAGGGAAAAACGTCAATAGTCCATACAAAGCGACTAGTTAACTTTTACATTGCCCGTACAAGCTAAAAGTTCGCTTTACACCGTCCATACAAGTCAATAGTTCGCTTTACACCGTCCATACAAGTCAATACCGAGCAAGTCAATAGTTCGCCTTTACATTCCATACAAGTCAATAGTTCGCATTACACCGTCCATACAAGTCAATAGTTCGCTTTACAAGCCATACAAGAATAGTTCGCCACCGTCTATACAAGTCAATAGTTCATTTAAGTCCATACAAGAATAGTTCGCCTTTCGCACCGTCCATACAATCCATATAAGTCCATAGTTCAACACCGCAATAGTTCGCTTTACACCGTCCATACAATGTCAATAGTTCTATACATTCGATACAAGTTCGCCTTCGCATTTCCCGTCCAACAAGCGAATAGTTCGCTTTTACATTTCCCATACAAGCCAAATTCGTTCACCGTCCATACAAGTCAATAGTTCGCTTTACACCGTCCATACAAGTTAATAGTTCGCCTTTACACTGTCCATGCAAGTCAAATAGTTCGCCTTTACATTTCCCGTACAAGCAGATAGTTCGCCTTTACACTGTTCATACAAGCGAATAGTTCGCCTTTATACTGTTCATATAAGCGAATAGTTCGCCTTTACACTATCCATATAAGTCAATAGTTCGCCATTACAATGTCTATACATTCGAATAGTTCGCCTTTACATTTCCCGTACAAGCGAATAGTTCGCCTTTACATTTCCCGTACAAGCGAATAGTTCACCTTTACAATGCACATACAAGCTAATAGTTCGCCTTTACACTGTCCATACAAGCGAATAGTTCGTCTGTACACTGTCCATGCAAGCAAATAGTTCGCCTTTACATTGCCCATACAAGCGAATAGTTTGCCTTTACGCTGTCCATACAAACCAATAGTTCACTTTTACATTGTCAGACAATTTCAAACCGGTGGACCATTATCAAATGGATACTGACCAGGGCAGTGTTTGGGAATGTTTAATATTTAAAGATCACAACCTGCTCACAGCCATATATGTCATGATACTACCACTGTCAAACGATACCATGTACCATTACAGTTTTCCGCGAGGTTTCATTACAGACCAGCAATCTAATTATTATGTTATGCTGTTTAGTTTTCCGGAAGAATGTTGCCACAGAACCGTCAAGGACATGCGAGGTTCCGTGTCCGGTGAAGGGAAGTGTTGTCAAGGGAGACAATCGATGGTAACACTGCAGATTATGTCACCAGGTTGTAGAAAAACATCAAAGTGACTGGCCATGGGGAACACTTGTATTTCAACACGTGGTAGCTTACTGCGTACTTTAAAAATGTGGATTAACTCATTACGTCCTTATAAACAATTACTGTGAAATCTTAGAGAAACAGAGACGAGAGATAGAGAGAGAGAGAGAGAGAGAGAGAGAGAGAGAGAGAGAGAGAGAGAGAGAGAGAGAGAGAGAGAGAGACAGAGAGACAGACAGAGAGAGAGAGAGACAGACAGACAGAGACAGAGGGCAGAGAGGAGAAGGTGGGGGAAGAGATGGGCGACCTGTAAATACGCTGGACCAAGCAAGCCAGTGACTGTAAACAAGAACAACGTACCTCGCCCTTTATGCGCAGCGGGGCGATGGGGTAACCTCGTGGTAAAAGCGCTGCAGACCTGGGTCCCCCACATGTGTGAAGCACACGTCTCGCAGCGGGGCGAGGGGGTAACCTCGTGGTAAAAGCGCTGCAGACCTGGGTCCCCCACATGTGTGAAGCACACGTCTGGTGTCCCCCGCCTTGATGTTACAGAAGTATTGATAAAGGCAGCGTAAAACATGCTCATTCACTAATCTATTTACAACTAGTCTACGTATACACCAGGTCTGAAATTATTCACGACATGAGAGTGTATTGGAATCAATTTAAGCAGCTGGCGCTACTGTCGAGCACATTCGCCATCCATCACCATCACCCAGTCATCATATGAGCGTCTTCAGCTTATGATGAGTTTACAAACGTCCTTATTAAGTTTTATTATTTCATCTGGATACATACATGTAGTCTGCTGTCTGAATAACGATTTGAACTTCAGTTAGAAGATAGAAGTTCCTGGTCTAGGCTCCACCATGTTCTCAAATATGTTCTCGTCACGATATGGCTGAAATATTGCCGATGTGACGTTAAATAATAACTCACTCACTCACTCCACCATGTTCACCGGGCCGCTGTCATGTTTCTTACAGTGGAGCTAAACCAAATATACTTCAGGTGTGTATGATAAATCATACTTCTGAGCGTGTCCTTGATAAAACTATATAACTGATCAACCTTAGAAAGGTTCTTCGGCTTGATGGCTTACTTAGCAGCACCAGGATCCGCTGATCCAATCAGATTATGACGTTTGATCTGTCAGCACTAGATCGTTGCACAAGTAGCACACGTCTTCCACCCTCGTGAATGAACACGTCCTGACACTAGATTGTAAACTGTTTACTGTGGTGCCGGAGGAGAGAGACAACAAGGGAACGGTCTTGTTGTTTAGAGACAGAGATACAAGCTCAACACAGGGTTATGACAGACAAACCAGTCACCGGGGTAGTTTCATATCTGTAGCCCTTGTAGTATAGGAATTATGATGAGACGGTCTCGTTCTATGCATGGCTCGGCAGAGTTGCCTCCCTTTGACCGTTAGCTTAGTACTCGTCCCCGGCTGCACAATGCGTCCACTGAAAGATTTATGAGACAGCTGATCTTGGGCGCACCTGTTATAACGTAGGTCCGTTTTGTTCACGGAGTATGTGATGAAATGCTTGTTAACACCATGACGTCACGCACTGTACAAAAACAACAAGGAAGGGATGTTTGAGAGACGGGAAAATTATCAGATTTCCCTTGTTTAATGACATTCATGACGTGTCCAGTCGAACATCAGTCATCCAGTTTTGGCAATCACATACCCTACGGTACCAGCCTCGTCTAAAGCCGTTGGGCAGGCACTTCTAGGTTCATTGAAGATTTCCCAATAGGTCACTTGCTCGAAATATTATGATGTTCTTATTTTATTTAAGAACATTATGCTTGGCACGATGCGGAAATAATGTTAAACTTCCCATGTCACACACTGTCAGGTCGCCTTGTTCTCTTACCGCGTTCACAGTGAAACTATTGGAGGTTGAAAGTGAGATATTTATTGCTCATACGACTGATGTTATACCCGGACGCCTGGAAGACAGTCAGTTCCTGTTCGAACATAACCGGATCCCAATAATAAAACATGATGTGCATTATGACGTGTTTAGGTAAGTCAGTTTTGGAATGAAATCCCGGTGGCGATAATAACAGATGGTGTTTATTTTGCGACCGGAGTTCCAGATGGGGTTTAAGGGATTTGGTGTGAGGGGAAGAAATGTGTGTGAGCGTTTGTGCGTGCGTGCGCGTTTGTGTGTGTGTGTGTCTTTAGTGTGTGTGTCTGTGTCTGTCTGTGTCTTTGGTGTGTGTGTCTGTCTGTCTGTGTCTTTGGTGTGTGTGTCTGTGTCTGTCTGTGTCTCTTTGGTATGTGTCTGTGTCTGTCTGTATGTCTGTGTCTTTGGTGTGTGTGTCTGTGTCTGTCTGTGTCTTTGGTGTGTCTGTCTGTATGTTGTCTGTGTCTTTGGTGTGTGTGTCTGTCTGTCTGTATGTCTGTGTCTTTGGTGTGTCAGTCCGTGTCTGTCCGTGTCTTTGGTGTGTGTCTGTCTGTATGTCTGTGTCTTTGGTGTGTCTGTCCGTGTCTGTCTGTGTCTTTGGTGTGTGTGTCTGTATGTCTGTGTCTTTGGTGTGTGTGTCTGTCTGTATGTCTGTGTCTTTGGTGTGTGTGTCTGTGTCTGTCTGTATGTCTGTGTCTTTGGTGTGTCTGTCCGTGTCTTTGGTGTGTGTCTGTCTGTATGTCTGTGTCTTTGGTGTGTGTGTGTCTGTCTGTGTCTTTGGTGTGTGTGTCTGTGTCTGTCTGTATGTCTGTGTCTTTGGTGTGTGTCTGTCTGTATGTCTGTGTCTTTGGTGTGTCTGTCCGTGTCTTTGGTGTGTGTCTGTCTGTATGTCTGTGTCTTTGGTGTGTGTGTGTCTGTGTCTGTGTGTATATCTGTGTCTCTGTGTGTGGTGCTTATTTCCACTGTTGTTTTACCAACAATTATTCCGAAGGCGAATTTTGACAACCCCTTCAGGTCTATTTTAGGGTTGCTGAAGGCAGCCAGTAAACTGACCAAAGAACTCGAATACACGACTGGATAGTTTAATCACAAAACATCTGACAATAAATATAAAAATAGATCTCAATTATAAATATATATTTCAACAAATCAACAAATAAGTAAATGGCACATGATATATTCAGTTATGCAGGGGAGGTAACTGGCGCATCTGTGTGAGATTCTGAAGTCTTTCTGCAAATTTACAAAGCATCGCTTTCGCACCTTTTGTAATCAGAAGGTTTCGTCTGTGTCGGCCTGATATGTCTAGACCATCTCGGTATTCGGAGGTGACAAGGTCACGTGTCACATGTGACGTCACTTCCGCGTTGATATCCTTCATCAGCTGATATATCTGACACACGATCTCCATCACCTTCCTCTCCAGTTCGGTTATTTTGCCCGAATAGTCCATGGTGTCGTTCCGAGCAAGTTCGAGGAAAAGTCCAATCCTAGACATCCTAGTGACTGCTTTTCCCAACACGTCTTGTATCTGGAACGAGCGATATTATCAAGCATGTCTCATGGTCAATGATACACAATACACTACGGCCATAAGGAACACATGGGACCACAAAGTCTAATTCGATATAACCATACTTCGTTATACGCCTTCCAGCTTATATAGATAACAAGTGACAGGGACAGAAACCAGTTGTTGTAGGCGTGTTCGTCACAGACGTAGTTAACTATACGGAGTTAAACTGGTTATCTGAGAGTCGGTTAGTGCGACTGTGGGCGTGTTCGTCACAGACGTAGTTAACTATACGGAGTTAAACTGGTTATCTGAGAGTCGGTTAGTGCGACTGTGGGCGTGTTCGTCACAGACGTAGTTAACTATACGGAGTTAAACTGGTTATCTGAGAGGCGGATAGTGCGACTGTGGGGTGGTTTCACCTCGCAATAGAACCTGAAGCTGCAGGTGAGAGACTGAGAGCATGAGCAACGATCCACAATGTCGGGCAATCAGCCAATACCCAGTGTCATACACCATCCAGGCATAGAGGATACACCCGGAAATGTTTTGTTATTGGAAATATTCTGTGAAGTACCTGTTTAGTTTGGCCAGGCGTTCTTCCTGTAAGAAGAGTCTCAAGCTGAGATTCTCCTGGTAGGTTGACTTGTATGTCCGTCTTGTTGAGTTCTGAAATCTGGAGGAAAATAAATAGAAACATATCAACATCATTGTCAAACTTATAGTCATGCTTGTGGTGGTACTGACATCTTGAAAGGCATTGAACGCTTGTCATGTCTTGACAAGCTGCTTTTTCATGGTACTTACATACGGAATGGAACCCGGTTTTAGTGTACCGAGCGGACGCTCGGCCCACAAGGCTACAGATTGACGCTGACTGCGACCACTACCCCAGAAGTGTGATTTTCACAAGAGATGACTAAATATAGCTGCTGCGACAAGTAACACGAAGTGAGGTGAAATGGTGCTCAACGTCATCTTCAAGGGAATTGCTTTAGTGTAGCCACGTGCATACACGTGTGTGTGTGTGTGTGTGTGTGTGTGTGTGTGTGTGTGTGTGGTGTGTGTGTGTGTGTGTGTGTGTGTGTGTGTGTGTCCCTATAGTGCAACATTTATATTGCTAGCCTCTCAGACACCTCGCTGCAGTTGTTCATGGATACACGTGATATCATTCTTAATGCCAGGCAGACAAACAACACGTTCCATCTTCTAACGTCTATTGGTACGAAGCAGCCGAGGATCGTACCTCAGACCTTCCTCTCCCACTAAATGCCGTTAATATAACTAACTCCCTCCATTCTGACAAGGTATGTTGCTAACTCACAATTGTGTTATTGAGCTCATCACAAATCCTTGCCGCGGTCCGCGACATGAGGAGAATCAGCACGAGACTGTCATTCACCGCTCTGTCCTCTGGCTTGGGGGGTGGGGACACAGAGCTTGAGGGGTCAGTCACAGTGGAGCGACCACCACACCCATTTGTCCAGACCTCCAGACTTGGTTGCCATAACGACGCTGCAGCCAGAGACAGCACAGATGCCAGGTGACAGGACAACAACACTGAAAATATCCACAATACTAGTATATACAGATAATTAAGTTATACTCATTAATGACAACATAGGAGCAACGTGTTTAGAACAATTTAGCTGGTATGCTACCATTCATTTCATATTTTTTAAACCTCAGAATATCTCATTTTCATAAAGAAAAGTCTAATTAAACTTAAAGATTCTTAAAGATATGAAAGAGGAAATATAGTTATTTTAACTTATTTTTCACATTATTCGTGTATTTTATTCTGAAGGATGTGAACACTCTACCTGTTCGAATAATTCGCCTGCAAAAACACCCATCTAAGGGACCGTTCATAATTTATGGCCTCGGGTGATGATGATGATTTTAAAAGAGAAGCATGTACAATGTGAATGACACCCCCACCCCCCACCCCAAAATAAGTGAACAAACCCCTGCATTATGTTCAAAATCATTGACCCCCCCTTCCCCTAATTTCTATGTACAAAATCATTGACCATTGACCCCTAGCTCCCTGAACAAAATGGGTGACCCCTAGCTCCCTTAAAATCATCATGGGTGACCCCCAAAATCCCCACCCCCACCCCACCACCACCACCACCACCACCAACAACCCACAGCCATAAACTATCTACGGTCCCTAATGTTATGGATATCCACAGTAATCAGAGTATTTAAACTAAATGTGACATTTACCTCTCATTGTAGCTAGTGTCCTCACTTATCACTTGATGGTATATACAGATCTCCGAGTACAGACCCTCTTGTACACGGGTAGAGAGTCCCTATGTCTGTAACGTGTAATCTCCGAGTACAGACCCTCTTGCAGACAGCTAGAGAGTCCCAGTGTGCGTAACGTATAATCTCCGAGTACAGAGTAACATGCAGACGGAATGCGGGCGAGTCTGTCTTCTCTCAGACTACGATTAGCTGTTGACTATATACTGCAAGGCCAGACAACCCGGATGTTGCTAACGACTGTAAGGTGCAGGCTTCCGTCGACGTCCCACACTTACGTCACGTCTCCCAGCCAGTACTGTGTAACTGTGTAACATCTATTACCTCTGTTGACGGATGTACGACACATCGTGTTTTTTGTCAATAAACGATATGACAATAAATATGTCTTACCATACGTCAACATTAACGTTTTCTCATATGCTGAGTTCAGTTCATATTGTAATATGCTAAATTTCCACAACCTGTTATACTTTGTCTAATATGCTGAATTCCCGACACTATCTGTTCCATATCTAATATGGTAAATTCACGACAACAGGTGCTCCATATATAATGTGCTGAATTCCCACCACATGTTATCCCCTATATAATATCCAAGTAATGCAGAAATCACAAACTTCAAGCTGTCAAGTAGATCTAGCTTCTTTTTTTTTAGTAATTTGACTAGCCTAAAATATCTGGAAAATCTGAGTTCATTATTTAACTAAATCATTACGACTGATGCAATACGTTTTCATAATCAACGTAATAATACAAGCAATAATAAAGATGTCAAATGGCAGATGGCATTTTATTCAAACATAAATATAATAGCAAAGAAATACAAAAGTGTATAAAATACATGTATTAATAAATAAATAAATTATCTCACACATTCACCTATTCTGGACGCTGCATGTAATTAACGCTTATGTATGACAATTGATACACCAAGGGATTCTGTACTGACTCTGAAACATACTCTACATAAGGAGAATTGTTCACAAGCATATTTGGGCGGCAGGGTAGCCTCGTGGTTAAAGCGTTTGGTCGTCACGCTGAAGGCCCGGGTTCGATTCCCCACATGGGTACAATGTGTGAAGCTCATCTCTGGTGTCCCCCGCCGTGATATTGCTGGAATATTACTATAAGCAACCCAACTCAAGTATAAGCATGTTTGCTCCCACGAAATACGTATAACGCTATTTCCCAACAGCAACCATTTATCAGACCAATGTTCATCAGTACCTACTATACTACCCATCAAAAGTTTAGACTCACTTAAAGCACTCACTATATGTTATGTATAAGTATGTGGTTACATCGAAGATGAATTTCTCCACCAACTTCGGGGAACCAACTGAAAACCATATGCAGATGAATTGCACAAGGATGATGCTTCAAATTGCGAAAGGCATGAGCAAATGTCGTGCATGTGAACAGATTCGTTTTGGTGTAAAGTTTTGTTAAGAATTCGCCAATTTTCACAGATTTTAATCATTTACTGAACTCATGACAATAATCTTTTCAATGTTACGAATATGTTTTACAATACACCAGTTCATAACCAAACAGTACCTTTAAACAGTATGGAATATTTTGCAAAAAGCTAGTTTAGAACAGTGGACAAGTAAGTGGCTACATTTACACTAGTGAGTCTAAACTTTTGATGGGTAGTATATATTCAGATGGCAGTTATAAGGTGGAAACATGTATATTAGCATGGAAACTGTTACGAAACGCTCCTAAAACTTGAATTATATGCTCTCGCCTTACTCTTGTTAGATGATGCATGCCTTGCTGCTGAACCGGTTCAAGCATGACTTTTATAAAGGTGATCTCATGTAGCCGTTTGAATAGACTTGATTATATCAACCATAGCATGACAAAAACCTTTGGATTAAACTGTGTTATACTGAACTTTCGAATAGAGCATAATGTCTGACGCTGTCTAATCTAAACGTGGGCTCATATGATAGAATACTGAGCTTGTTTTATTTTTATTTTACAGAACACTGAAAACATCTTTTGTTACATTAAATTTTGTTCTGGTCTATGTAGCCATCATTGATTCTGCAACAGTTGGCAAAAGGAATTGCGACTGCTATGTGACTTTTTAAATGATATATTGAAGTCTGGAGTGAAAAACGAACCTGTAACCCTATCACCCGTGCCATAAAAATAAAGAAAAATATATATTTAATTTCAAATACACGATGTCTATGATCAGCAGCAGTTTGTTCTGAGTGCTTATTTGTTTTGTTGTTGTATGTAGTCAGTTATTTGCTACGATATTTTCATTCACTAAAATATTGTGAACTCAGACATATAATTTCATTTACTCCTTAATTTAGATGAAATGTTGCATTACAAACCGCCCAGTTCTCCTGGCAATAGAATCAAATACAGAATGCATGTCCCTAACAATCAGGTAGTTACGATTATTGCGATGAACATACTCAGACATATTTCGCAAATTATCAGGCATGATGTCACGTGACACATGTGAGGTCACTTCCTGTCCCACCATGTCAAGTAGACGATGGACCTGACATTTGGTTTCCCGATACTTGGTTTCCAGTTGGCGCAGCTCGTCAATATAGTCAACATATTCCGTGAGAATCTGTTCCAGGAATACACCAACTTGCGCCAGTCTCTGGACATCCCACAACAGCAACTGTTTCATCTGTGAACAAAGAACACGTGATGAGGTATAAATGGTTGGAATAGTGTGCCGTGAAAACCAGTTGAAATATGTCAACCTCTCCTTGTGAACCGCCGATACATTATGTCCCCTCTACAACAGACCAGTGAAAGTACCGCATTGTCATTTATATTGGTAGTGTAAAATAAGTATCCCAAACACTGTATGACAAAAGTGATGTCATCAATTCCTACTTTATGTCTCCAGCTATGAGTGTCTATATTTCACTGAGCAACAATCGAGACTGTTATTTCTGCCCATTTCAAAGTCCGCCCGCATGGGCAGCAAGTGGTTATTTTGTATTTCATACGACATTTCAAAACTTTCAAAATAATTCATATATGGTTTGCCCGTTGTTCCAAAATGCTTTATCCATCCTCGTCCACGAATCTTCAGTGAACAATGTCAGTTCTCTGGTGTGAACTGCGTCATATGTTCCACTGTATGCTTGGATGAAGCCATTACTTCCATAGTATACATGTGTCTTTGGCGGATGACACTGGCTGGGCAATACGAACATCTGCCTTCACCACCAGCTGGTAGTAACTCATAAACACATGCCAAGTAACTCTTATCGTGGGAATTGTACAATAATACATGGTAATTATCTTGGAATGGTTTACTTACATTTCTCTCAACCCTGTCTGATGTCTGAGTGTCGGGGAAGCCAGTCAAGGACGGGTAGTTGTTGAGTACATTGGCAGTAGATGGAAGGATGATGCGTGTCTGAAACAGGAATAAAGCTGATGGCGGAGTGCTGTTATTTTGTGACCATACAAACACGGATTAGGGATTTCACAGTTCAGTCTAATTCTTTAACGAACACAGCATTCCTGTGATGGATGGTGGGAACTGTGCTTGAAGCCACGTATAGTAATAGTGCAGCAGAGACATCGACAACACGGGGGATCATGTGCCGTAACGATTTGTGAAGACAAACTTGGTATATTTGGCACTGACTCGTGTACTTGAATACACCATCGCTCCGTCACGAAAAGAATACTATTAAGACAAGGAACATCTTAAAGACAACTTCTTCATTGCTTTATATCGACGGATCAGGTCTACCTCAGGGCTAGAGGCTACCCTCATTAGGAAATCATAAAGTTGTTTCCCAAATATAATTGTTGATTATAACTCCTTGTTCTTTCAACTTCTGGATGTCTATCGACATGACTTTATGAACTTTACGAATGCCAAATACATATTAAAGATTCCTTTGCGTTACAGATCTAAGCATTTAACAAGACATAGAAAACTACTGAATAATGTAGACACTCTAATGAAATGCTTACAATTCTGTTCCTGAGTTCACCGCAAAGACTCGCTGCAGACTCCGTCTTCAGTTTCAAGAGTAGAAGTTCCGATCTCAAGTGATGAGAGCGTCTGGGTCGATGTATTGGGCGATGTAATGGCCGATCTGTTATTTCGGTAGTTCCTGCGCAGGGTCGAACCCATATTCCTTCTTGACCCAAGAGTTGTCCAGATGCTATCGCTGCTACCAGTTGACTGACGAGCACTACATATAGAGAAAGGAAATTTCACCAACAGAAGACCAACAAAGGAAAACGTTAATGGCAGACGTGCACTAATAAAGAAAGTAGGCGTCATTGACAGATAAGCACAGTGTTCATAAAATGAAGACGTCACTGACAGAAGCGAGCGACACCTTTACATAAGGAAGACGTCATTGACAGACGAATACTCATCCTACCAAGGGAAGATGACAGAAGAGCATTATTTGTGTAAAAGGAAGACCTCATCACAATTACTTACAAATGGTAAGTCCAAGAAAAAGTAAACATTTAGCATTTACTTTATGTGGATTTACATAGACATCAGTACACACTGATCGGTAGTTAAAGAAAGTATACAAATATGTTCGATGGAGACTCAACATGAAACAAACAAGATATTGTTATTATATTATGGTGTATTTGTAACACGGGCGATATTACATGCATCAATATTATATGAGTATCTCACATGGGAGTCCCGACTTCACAGTACCTATGTGAAGTGCAAAGTATCAAGCGTATGGTCACTTGAATGTACTAGTAAGTATTTGCAGACAGGGTTAGCACAAGCTAGCAGTACACATACCTACTATAACACGTGCCATGGCCATAATATGTTCCTGTGTATCAACTTTGACAAGCGACAGAGTATTGCAGCTATTGAAGGTGGCAGATGTATGTGCCAACACGAACATCTACCTCGTTATATATACCCTTCTCAGCTAATTCCTTATTATCAAATCTCGTTGGGAATGCCCATTTCTCGGACATTTTGAATCTTTGTAAAAGTACAAGAACCCCAATCTGGGAACGTGTTTGGGGACTGACACATGCACAGGTTAATCACGACATTGATGCTGACGAGTACGTCGCTCATAGGTTAGTTGGTGGGCATTTTCAATATTTCCATCCTCTTTTGGGATCGTCCCACTGACAATGAAAACTGTCATACATGACTGCTTCCAATCCAACATTTTCGCTACACTTTCCATGGTTCTGCCTGGATGATTGCAGCTACGTGTAATACGGAGACCTATCACTTGGTATATAACCCAAGGTTTCCTGTAACTTGTGGGTAAAGATCGATAGTCGATCACTATTACACCGTGGAGATATCTGAATACACGCTCGCTTATGGATCATGATTACAGTGTGTAGATATTTGCCTCAATGAACCATTGAAAACAAAACTGATGTGGGACTTTGACTTTCCTCAACGAAAGTATAATTCATGCAGACCGTGACCCACCATCTGGGTGGGGTGGGCCTATGAATGTACAGGCATACAAAATTGTTCTCACGTTTCACAAAGAACTAAACGCGTTTGATGTCCTTCAATATGCGCTATTAAAATATACAGTGATTCCTCCTTCCATCCTCAGGAAGGTTACCATGAAGCTCACCCTGAGCTAAGTTCCACAGTTACCGGAACGTAGGAGTGGAATCAGAAAGAATGACGAAAGTCAAGGTTCTTCTATTAGCCTTTGTTCAAGTGGTCTAACGCCACTGGTTCTGTGAATGTATGTTTGTGGCTCCCAATGGATCGTTGCCCCTGTTGTGAAACATTCACAGGTTTTCCTGGTCCTATTTTGATTTAGCTGAGCGATTTAGTTGTGACAGAAAACAACAATCACTAAACGACATAGTTACACTAGAATGTCCTGAAGCGGGTGCTCCACAGTTGGCTACAGCAGGTGAACCTCACAGAAACCAGAAAGGTTCGCCCTATTTCACATACTGCTCTTATGGGGTATACCGTAGAGGTATATGTCAAAACCTGTATCACTTTGGGCATTCCGCATTCATCAAGCAGACACGTGATGTAACTGAAATATTGTTCCACTGTGTTTATCCAAACTTTTCTCATTCACAATTATTCAGTTTCAAGCCATTTTTTAGCGTTAGTAAACAGCGTTCTGCATCACCACTGTCATATAGACACCTGACAGTCGTACAGCGAACTCTGGCAGAGATTTCTCTTGTATACAGAAAGGTTTGTGTAGTTTTTGTATACACAATAGTCCCTTGGTAACGGAAGGAAACACACTAAGGATCTAGTGACCTTTTTGAATCAACATAGAAGCCACTCCAACTAAAGTGTCAAGTAAAGAATACCCGTTTAGATATTGTTCGACAAAAAGATGTTTTGCTCTTAAGATTCATGGTGTGCATGATATTCTGAACGAATAGGTCTCTTACACAGGAGTTTTATTATATCTTATTGAATGAATGAATGAGTAATATTTCAAAACTGGAATAAAGAACATTTCTTATGTCTCAGGCAGATACGATATATTGTAAATGATGATGTTGTTGTTAATGGCGTCAGGCTGTCATGCGTTGTGCAAGTCGTAGCTACTGATTGCCAGCGACAAGGAAGTGGAACTCGTGGATGCGTGACAGCACACTCCACCTTGCACAATCGACATACCAACTGATCAAACAAACTATTTTGTACGTTTACTCACTTCACAGAAAGGCCGCATCCGTGCACAGAACAGAACAAGGCTGCTGTTGTTGTACGGAGAAATCCTGTTTGAACAGCGGGCAATGGTTAGGGGCCAAGCCCCGGGGTGGTGGTATATTCCCAGGGGAGTGGGGGATGTACCTGTGGCCCATTGTTGTGGGAGGTGTCCTGTCACATTAGCATCGTGGTTAAAATAATGTAACATCTACAGACGCACCGTATGCGGATACGTGGTGGATACCTGCCATTGATATTACTAATGACACAACGGGTGCTTCTTTATGGCCAGGCAAGAACACTGAGACAAGTGTCCACTGTTTGCATTTTCTGGAAATGTTTCCGTTCCAAGGAATATATCGATGTTTTGTCGAAACAATATCGTTCCCAGGAAATATTCTTTCATGACCCAAATATTAAATCTTTGTTATGACATTGCGTGTTTCCTAGGGATGCCAGTCTTACGGATCATCAAGGAAGTAGGTGTGTAAATGAGCAGAAAAAAAATGAATTTATTAAATCTTCCAGAAGAACCTTATGACAGTATGATAAATTTTTATCTTTAGTGGGATTTCAAATATAAGCTTACAACACACATGTGATACAAATACAGCCTACTTGCACGGCACTGCAATTGGACAAATAGATCGGTCGCGTGACATGAACGTTTACCTTCCTGTGGCAACAGATAGGAATTCCCTGCACTAAAACGAAACAGAATCACTCTGATGTGACATATGTTTATTTGCAGAAGTTGAAAGGTTTTTGACTGCACATAGTGATCGACTACAACAAACACAGGGTTACAAGCACCAAGGTTTGATGGTGCGGAATGTACTTCACCATCCGATCACACTAGCCAATACAGTAGTAATGAATTAGGTGATCAACATACATAATGATTGTTTTCAATCTACAACTGGGACAAGTGTAGATTGCACTCCTAAATTGGGATTCAGCCCAACCAAAGTACTAGAATTTGTACTTTACTAAATATAAGTGCAATCCCAAATATAACCTATGTTAAGACGGGTACATATGGACCGGAAGTGCGGTCTTGCGATTTGGGCATACGTTCAGATTATAAGATGTTCAAAACAACTTTGTACAAAACAACTTTAGCACTAAGTTGATCGTAAGTCCCATACCCCAACATATACTTAAGACAGACTTAGCGCTAAGGTTGTTTTGTACAACGGCACCCAGGTATAGTTTCCATGAAGTTCCTGAGCTGTGGCTGTGACCAATCAGGCAGGGACAGTACAACCAGGGAGCAACTGACCCCCGTTTCAGCTGCTGCTGATCGCTGTATTTTATTGAAATGGAGTTTAATATGCTCAAGGGTAATGGCATTTGCCTTTTAGTAGCGTGAACGTAGCACACAGACATAATCAGGGCCCGACAAAGGTGTGGTTGCTTTTGTAATAAGAGACAAATCTGACACCAAATTCATCGAGAAATCTCAGCCAGACAAAGACTATATGGTTTAGACCTTATCTGTGTGGATGTGGAAAGAGTTCTGTCGCCTGCATTTCTTATTTGAAAGCAGCAATCCCTTCTGCAATTGCCGGAATATCTGTTATGGTTTCTCGCAGGATGAGATAGTTCCTACTGTGGACTACATCCTCAAGAGACCCGTGATCATTTGGCATGATATCACGTGACACAAATGTCTGCACGTGCTGGTTGAGGCTTTTCCAACATATCGACTTACTTCAAGTCCGCTTAGGAGTGCAGTCATGCATATCGAGACTAGCTTGTTCCAGGAAAACCGCTATTTGTAACAATCTATCTGTTTTGAATAGAATGTCCTTAATCTACATAAAAACACACATTGTCTTCGGCTTGCTGGTTTGTGTATGCGATTGTACGTATAATCAGTGACAGGTTGCACTCTAAAACCGCCAGCCAGACTCTCTCTCTTGAACACGCCTGGAGGAGCAACTAGAACATTTCAAACATTTGTAGCTTTCGATGTTTCGTTGTTCAAGAGTTTTCTTTTCCATTTGTATTTTTATCATCCTATAGGGCACATTTCAAAATTCCACTGAAGGAAAATATGAATAAACAGATTGATAAACCATATTTATAAGAATACGGTATTTCGGGGTTATCGGTGTGTTATATGCCGATGTGGAGGGGAGTGAAGTAGATACAGCGGGACATTGTATAAAGTGACTCCTTTCATCAGAGAGACACTTTCATTCATGCAACAGCCCCATTCATTCAGTTAGTCAGTTAGTCATACCGTGCCGGCTCAGGATGTTTCCGTGGTATGTAGTAGGCTGTGTCAGAGCCGTGTCATCAGGTGGCAAGTATCTCAGGTAAAACGTTCAACGGCTATTTTAGTTTTCTGTCTCATGCGGCTGTCTCATCAACAGTTATATTGGTGTAGTTACCCCATCTGGGAAGTTTAATAGCTCCATTAACTTTATGAAGTTCCCACACAAGGATGTAAACGCCAGGCCACGAAAGCACGGTGCGCCTTTTGGCCTTGAAAAGATATTCAAGAAATGAATAGTAACAAC